GCTTGGCTCAATCTGGGAGGAGGGGACTGGACCTGCCTGGACTGAGTCTATCAGGTTGATCCCAGTCCTCTGGGGAGACCTTGATCTGGAGGAGGTGGGAATGGGGGGTGGACTGGGGGAAGGGGAGGGGGGCAGGAAGGGAGAGAACAAGGGAATCTGTGGCTGTAGAACTGAATAATATTGTAAAATAAAATAAAAAAGAAAATGAAATTCGCTCTTTCCAGCCAGTGCCGAGCGATGGGCATCTCTTGAGACAACTGGCACAAGCGCCGCAAACCGGGGGTAAGAGAAAGCCCTACCACAAGAAGCAGAAGTATGAGCTGGGATGGCCTGCTGCCAACATGAAGATTGGCCCTCGTCGTATACACACAGTCCGAGTCCGAGGAGGCAACAAGAAGTACCGTGCCCTAAGATTGGAAGTGGGGAACTTTTCCTGGGGCTCTGAGTGTTGTACTCGGAAAACAAGGATCATTGATGTTGTCTACAATGCATCCAAAAACGAGCTGCTCCGCACCAAGACCCTGGTGAAGAACTGCATCATCCTTATTGACAGCACACCATACCGACAGTGGTATGAGTCTCACTATGCGCTGCCCCTGGGCCGCAAGAAGGGGGCCAAGCTGACTCCTGAAGAGGAAGAAATATTAAACAAAAAACGATCAAAGAAAAACCAAAAGAAATATGATGAAAGGAAAAAGAACGCTAAAATCAGCAGTCTTCTGGAGGAGCAGTTCCAGCAGGGCAAGCTTCTTGCCTGTATCGCCTCAAGACCAGGCCAGTGTGGCCGAGCAGACGGCTGTGTGCTAGAAGGCGAGGAGCTGGAGTTCTATCTGAGGAAGATCAAAGCCCGGAAAGGCAAATAAATAAAGCATCATTCATAGCTCATGTAATAAAGGTGTGTATTGTTCTATTTAAAAAAAGAAAATAAAATGAAATTCACTATACCTTCTCAGCACTCCTTGGTACCTTCTCTAAAATTGACCACACTTTAACGGCTGAGCTATCCCATTTGTCAAGCCAGGTGGGTGGAGAGAGAAAGAAAAGGCTAGAGAAGAGAGTTGGGGTCCACCTCAAGAATCAAGACCATCAGAAGAACGTGAATGGGAAAGAGACAAAGAGAAGGATAGACACAGTCAAGATCGAGAGGAGAACAAGGACCCTGACCGAGAAAGGGACAGAGACAGAGATGGGGACCGAGAGGATCGCTTCAGAAGACCCAGGGATGAAGGTGGCTGGAGAAGAGGACCAGCAGAAGAATCTTCAAGCTGGAGAGATTCAAGTCGCCATGATGATAGAGACAGGGATGACCGTCGTCGGGAAAGAGATGATCGTTGTGATCTGAGAGACCTGAGAGAAAGAAGGGATTTAAGAGATGATAGAGACTGGAGAGGACCTCCTCTCAGATCAGAGCGAGAAGAAGCAAGCTCTTGTAGACGGGCTGATGACAGGAAAGATGACCGGACTGAAGAATGGGATCTACCTCGTCGTGTTCCTCCCTCAACTCTTTCAAGAGATCGAGAAAGAGAGAGAACGAGAAGGTGAGAAAGAGAAAGCATTCTGGAGAGCTGAGAAAGATAGGGAGTCCCTTCGTGGTACTAAGAATGAAACTGATGAAGATGGCTGGACCACAGTACGACGTTAAGTCCCAAGATGATGGAGTCAAACTTATCTCTTGCATAGGTTTGATCACATTCAAGGATTATTATACTTGTGCTTCACCCAGTCTAAATTGAATTCTTTAATGTTGTCTCACCATAACACAAAAAAGATGAACTTGTATCAATCATATATAATAGATTGATTATGCACTGTATTCACAGGAGGTTGAAAAACCATGCCATTTTCTGGAATTTAAGGTGTTGCATTATTTCATCAATCATTTGTTTAAAAAAAAACTAAAAAATAAAAATGAACCCTTCAGGTGTTAACACTTAAAAAATAAAAATAAAAATAAAAAATAAAATTGACCACACACTAAGTTACAAAGCAAGTCTCAACAGATATAAAGAAATTGAAATAACCACCTGTCATCCTATAAGACCAAAACAAATTAAAGCTGAGTTTCAGCAACAACATATATCCTACAAACTCATGGAAACTGAACAACTCTCTACTGAATGACTGCTGGGTCAAGGAAGAAATAAAGAAATTAAAGACATTCTTGAATTCATGAAAATGGGACCCAAAGAAAGCTATGCTAGATAATTTAGAAAGCATATTTGAAGAAGAAAGGAAAGTTTTGCCTCATTGGAGATATCAAATTGCTCCTGAAAAATACAAAGAGGAGATTCTATTAATTACTTAGGATAAAGATAGAGCTATAAAAAAAAATTAGATCCCAAAAGGTATAAATCATGAGTGATCGATTGTGGACTCAGTGATTTTCAAAGATTATTAGGAAGCATTTCCAACTTACAGACTCTCATTGGAATATCTAAAGATGGACTAGTAAATTTGGCCAATACCCTAATGGGGACAAGTACTTAAGCAGTCCAAGAGAATTATCAACTGAAGCTGAGAAGATTTGGGTTCTAATAGAAAAGAAAATATGAGAGACACACATGGATCATGTGAATCCATAGCTTAACTGAATTCTGGCCATACTACCCTCCAGACACTCCCCTACAGGGATCTTGATGCAGCAAGTAAGAAATTAAAGACATATGTAGAAAAGATCTCTGATTTGATTTTAAAAGGAAAATTAAGACTTCAACAATTAACAGAAATGGACCAAGCAGAAATTATAGGTATGGAAAGAGTATTGGCAAAAACCTTACAGTAATTTTTTGGGAGAGATTAACAACTGTTATTCCAAAAGCAAAAGAACAGAATAAATAAAAAGAACCAATTGAGTCATTCCTCACATTGCATGGCAAAAAAACAATCTCTGGAGTCTCCACTTTCTATACTGATGCAAATAATTCAGGAAAGGCAGAATATAAATCAGGATGTTTAAGTAAAGTGGTTCAAAGTCCTTACAATTCTGTACAAAAGTCAGAATTGTGTGTTATTCTTATAATACTAATGATCTTCACAGAACCTCTCAATATAGTTACTGACTCTCAATACACAAAGAGAGTTGTTTTACATATTGAAACTGCTGAACTTATTCCTGATAACACAAAATTAACTTTACTATTGATACAGTTACTAGAAATCATCAGAAATAGAGAACAATCTATATATAAAACACACATCAGGTCCCACATTGATCTGACAGGTCCTCTAGAACAAGGTAATGATGAGATTGACCAGTTATTAATAGGAAATGTGGGGGGGAAGAGGGGGGCTCAGAATGTTATAAGAAAAACCACATAAGTAGCAAAGGTTTGAGAAAGGACTTTTCCATCACTTGGCAGCAAGCCAAGATTATTATAAAAAAATGTTCTATTTGTTTCTTTTATAACCAAACTCTATTACTTATATGAAGTAATCCAAAAGGTATACAAAGAAATGAAATTTGGCAGATGTGGTTTTTTTTCGGAAAATTAAAGTATGTACACCACATCATTGACACCTATTGAGGATTTCAATGAGCAACTCCTATGAGTTCTGAAAAGGCTGATTCTGTAATTACATATCTATTAGAAGTTATGGCCATCATGGGAATACCTGTACAAATTAAGACTGACAATGCTCCAGCATATACCTCTAGTAAAATAAAACAGATTTTTGCTTATTACAATATAAAGTATATTACAGTTATACCACACAATCCCACAGGCCAAGCAGTCAGGGAAAGATTCAATCTAACTTTAAAGGGTATGTTAAATAAACAAAAAAGGTAACAATGACTCCTAGAAATAGATTACATAATGCTTTATTAATATGCCACAATGTTGAGGTCATTGTCTTTATACTGTATGTTTGTTTACAGATTGTTTACTTTAATGTAAACCCTTAGCCCTGAGGTTATTTAGGTAGACAAGACTTGCAGATTAATAGTCACCGATGCTGGTGACTATTAATCTGCCTGGTATTAGAAACCTAACCAATGATTGCTGCCTCAGTTGCCGGGCAGCAGGGAAGACTTTTGTGGGCAGGCTACCCCACCAAACCCTCCATCATACCCTGCAATCTACAAGACCCACACCCTACCGCAAACTTACCCATCCCTCTTCTACCCCAGTGGCTTCCTGAGACAGAATCTGCCAGCTCTGATTGGACCAAGAGTGGCTTCCTGAGACATAGAATCCACCAGCTCTCATTGGACCAAGAGCTGTTATTGGACCAAAAGAGGCTTCCTGAGAGACAGAATCTGCCAGCTGTGATTGGACCAAGAGCCCTGATACAATCAAGATCGGCTCCCTGAGGCACAGAATCAGCCAGCTCAGATTGAACCAAGAGCAGTTCGCTCAGACACTGGCACTTCTTGCACCTATTGGGGGAAGAGAAGGGTAGATGCCAGTGCAAAAAATACATATAACAACATGAAGAGCAATATGGCATCACCAAAACCTAGAGGTTCTACAACAGCAAGACTTGTACATCAAAACGTAGAAGAAGCAGAAGAAAGTGACCTTAAAAATAACTTTATGAAGATGATAGAGTCCTTTAAAGAGGAAATGAAAAATTCTCTTAAAGAAATTGAGGAAAAGACAAACAAAAAATTGGAAGAAATCAATAAACCCCTTAAAGAAAGTGAAGAAAACCGAGAAAAGGCAATTAAACATGAGAAAGAAACAGTTCAAGACCTGAAAATTGAAATAGAATCAATGAAAAAGACACAAACCGAGTACAATTGCATGGAAACTGAATAATGCACAACTGAATCACCAATGGGTCAAGGAAGAAATAAGAAAGAAATTAAAGACTTCCTAGAACTCAATGAAAGTTAATGACTACATATGCAAACTTATGGGACACTACAAAAGCAGTGCTAAGAGGAAAATTCATAGCACTAAGTGACCACATGAAGAAGATGGAGAAATCTTAGACTAGCGACTTAACAGCACACCTGAAAACTCTAGACATTTTTTCTGGATAACTTATCCTTTTTCTTCAGATGTCTCATTTATCCAGTGTTCTTCAGGTTCCTTAGCCTTCATTCTCCTGAAAGACAAAATCAAAACCCTTCCTCCACCCTAACTTTGGGAAGGTTTCCTTTTGGCAAGTTATATCTGATTAAATGAAAATCATTTGTTAGTTGTATAAGTTAATTTAAATTGAATGGTCATGCTGGTTGATGAACTATCACCTCTATAGCTTCTGAATTTAGTGTCATTCTATTTACTGCTGAAGACAATCTTTGTAACAAATAAGTGAAGATTTCTTTTGAGCCCTGTATAACTTTTGTAAATAACTCAGTTTTCTTTCCTACTTCTTCAATTCTGTCCCAAGCATTCAAGGCTGCCATTCGGCCATCTCCATGGTACATAAATATCACAATAACACTTGGAGTTTTGAAATAAAATAGCATTTTTTAATTGGAATTGTTTTCCTTGCTAGATGGTAGGCTGTGTGTGTGTGTGTGTGTGTGTGTGTGTGTGTGTGTGTTTTACGACACACAACAACTGCTTTCTCTCCTTCTTCTCCTCCTAGTCCCTCCCCTGATCTTCTCTCTGTCCCTGCACCCACTCACACTCTGTTTATATTCAGAGGTGGGTAAGCCTCCAATGGATATCAAGCAAACATGGAATATCAAGTTCAAGGCTGGATGAGGCAACACAGTATGAGGATAAGCATCCCAAAAGCTGGCAAGAGTCGAAGACAGCCCTTGATCCCACTGTTAGGAGTCCCACAAAAAGACAAAGCTACAAAACTGTAACATATGCAGAGGGTCTAGGTCAGACCCATGCAGGTTCCTTGGTTGTCAGTACAGTCTCTATGAGCCCCTATAAACCCAGGTTAGTTGATTCTGTGGGGTTTTCTTGAGGTGTCCTTGACCCATCTGGCTCTTGCAGTCCTTTCTTCCCCTCTTCTGAAAGATTTCTGAGGCATGCTTAATATTTAGACATGGGTGATGGGAGAATGTCTTTCTGTATGCTGCAAATATGTGTTGCTCTGATTGGTTGATAAATAAAGCCATTTGGTCTATGGCAAGGCAGCTTAGAGGCAGGTGGGAAATTCAAAGAGAGAGACAGGAAGAAAGGCTGGCAGAGATGCCAGTGAGCCAACCTAGGGGCAACATGTAATGGGACACAGGTAAAGCCACAGAACATGTGGCAATACATAGATTAATAGTTATAGGCTAATTTAAGATATAAGAGCTAGCTAGCAAAAGGCATGAGCCATGGCCATGCAATTATAATTAATATGTACCTCTGTGTGTTTATTTGGGGGACACAAGTAGGAGAGATTTGTCCCGATTGCCAGCAGGACAGGACACAGGAAATCTTCCGGTTGCACATGGGTCTCTGCATCTGTTTCTGTTAGTTGCTGAATAAAGCCTCTCTGATGACAATTGGGATAGGTAATAATTTATGAGTAAACAGAATATCATTAGGAATCATTTCACTGATGATTTTTCCAGTTGTGATTGGTTTTATCCTAGGTCTCTGGACTATCCAGTCTCTGATTCCTGGACTTCCAGACAATGTCAGGGGTGGGTTCACTCTTGTGGCATGGGTCTTAAGCTGAACCAGTCATTGGTTGGCCACTCCCACAATTTCTGAGCTGCCTATGTCCTAGCACATCTTCTAGGAAGAACAAATTGTAGGCAAAGGGTTATGTGGCTGGGTTGATGTCCCAATCCCTCCACTGGAAGTCTTGCCAGTTTATAGAAGGTAGAGAGCAGTTGAGGGGTTGGTTCTTTTGGGGGGGCAGCCACCCAGCTCCCAAATAAATCACACACAGAGACTTATACTTAACTATAAATGCCCAGCCTTTGGCTTGTTGCTTGCAAGCTCTCTTTATTTCTTAAATTATCCCATCACCCTTATGCCTCTGGGCCTTTCCTATTCTTTTACTTTGGTAAATTTTACTCTCACTCCATGGCTTACTATATAGCTGGGTAGCTGGCCCCTGGAGTCCTCCTCTTCTCTGGCTACTTCTTTTTTCTATTCTCCCACATTTGTCCCTCTATATACTCCATCTGCTTGCCAGCCCCACTTATCTTTTCTCCTGCCTTGAATTGGTTGTTTTTTATTAGACCATCAGGTGTTTTAGACAGGCACAGTTGCACACCTTCAAAGAGTTAAACAAATGCAATATAAACAAAAGCAGCACAGCTTAAAATAATGTTCCCTAACAATGGAGAGTTCCGGTTCTAGAATCCCTATTACTAAAAGTCTTAGCTAGGGTCACCTTTGTAGATTCCTGAGGTTTCTAGCTCATCCCCGAGATGCATCCAATTTCAGTTTACTCTCTAAGTACTCTCTCCCTCCATTCTCCCCCAACCTGTTCCTATCCATGCCGCCTTTCATCCACTCCAGATGTTTATTCTATTTCCCCTTCTCAGGGAGATCCATTGTTCCTCCCTCCCTTGAACTCTCCTTGTTACTTAGCTTCTCTGGGTCTGTGGATTGTAGCATGTTTATCCTTTACTTCACAGCTAATATCCATTAAAGTGAGTACATACCATGTTTATCTTCATAGGTCTGGATTACCTCACTCAAGACATTTTTTCTAGTTCCATCTATTGGCCTGCAAATTTCATGATGTCATTGTTTGTTTGTCTGTCTGTTTGTTTTGTTTTTCAAGACAATGTTTCTCTGTGTAATTTTGGTGTCTGTCCTGGATCTCGCCCTATAGACCAGGCTGGCCTCGAACTCACAGAGATCCACCTGCCTCTGCCTCCCTAGTGCTGGGATTAAAGGCATGGGCCAACACTGCCCAGCTCATTGTTTTTAGTAGCTGAGTGAGATCAACAATTACCAAATGGGACCTCATGGAACTAAAAAGTTTTTGTGAGTCAAAGGACATAGTCAATAAAACAAAATGACAGTCTACAGAATGGAAAAAGATAAAGAGCTCGAGAAATCAGACATCACAATAACAGATAATCCAATTAAAAAATGAACTAAGCATAGAATTCTCAACAGAAGCATCTCAAATGTCCGAAAGACATTTAAGGAGTTGCTCAACATCCTTAGTCATCAGGGAAATGCAAATCAAAACGACACTGAGATATCATCTTATACCTGTCAGAATGGCTATGATCAAAAACAAAAACACTGATAACAACTTATGTTGGAAAGGATGTGGAGCAAGGGGAACACTCCTTCACTGTTGGTGGTGGGAGTGCAAACTTGTACATCCACTTTCGAAATCAGTACAGCAGATTCTCAGAAAATAGGAAATCAATCTTCCTCAAGACCCAGCTATACCACTCTTGGGCATATACCCAAGGAATACTCAATCATGCCACAAGGACACCTGCTCAACTATGTTAATAGCAGCATTATTCATAAAAGCCACAACCTGGAAACAACCTAGATGCTCCTCAACCAAAGAATGGATAACAAAAATTTAGTACATATGCAAAATGGAGTACTACCCAGCAATAAAACAATGACATCATAAAATTGGCAGGCAAATGGATAGAACTAGAAAATATCATCCTGAGTGAGGTAACCCAGACTCGGAAGGACAAACATGGTATGTACTCACTCATAAGTGGATACTAGATGCAAAGCAAAGGATAAACAAACTACAGCTCACAGCTCCAGAGGAGCTAGCTAACAAGGAGGACACAAAGAGGGATGCATGGATTGCTCTGGGAATAGGAAATAGATAAAATCACCATGAGTAAACTGGGGATGGGGGTGAATGGAGGGTAGGAGATGGGGGATGAGAACATAAGGGAACGTGATGGTGGAGCTGGAACAGGGATGGAGTGTGAAAACAATGAAAGATACCATGATAGAGGGAGACATCATGGGGATAGGGAGAAACTGGGTGCTAGGGAAGTTTCCAGGAATACACAAAGATGACCCTAGCTTAGACTACTAGCAATAGTGGAGAGGGTGCCTGAACTGGCTTACTGCAGCAATCAGACAGGTGAATACCCTATCATCATAGAGCCTTCATCTAGTAACTGATGGAAGCAGATACAGAGATCCACAGTCAAGCACCACCAGGCTGCGTTCCAGGAGGCCAGTTGAAGTAAGAAAAGAGGGATTCTATGAGCAAGGGGCATCAAGATCATGATGCGGAAGCCTACAGAGACATCAAACTAAACTAATGGGAACTCACAAACTTTAGACCAATAGCTATAGAGCCTCCATGAGACTGGACTAGGCCCTCTGCATAAGCAAGACAGTTTTGTACATAAGCTTGATTTGCTTAAGGTGCCCCCCTGGCAGTAGAATCAGGACCTATCCCTGGTGCATGAGCTAGCTTTTAGGAGCCTAAAACCTAGGGCAGGATACCTTGCACATCTTTGATGCAGGAGGAGGGAGGAGGGTCTTGAACCTGCCTCTACTGAATGGACCGGGCTCTGTTGACTTCCCATGGGAGGTTTTACCTTGTTGGAGGAGGCAATATGGGACTGGTTTTGGAGGGGAGACTGGAGGGGAGAGAGGTGGGAAGAGGGGGCATATGCAGTTGGTATGTAAAATGAATAAATAATTAATTTAAAAAAGGGGGAAAGATTTTATTAAGAACTACAACTAAGATATTGATTATTTTAAACTGTCAGTATACAGAATGTATATATTAAAATTTTGGATTCTTAGGTGTCATTAAAAGGCTGACTACAGAATGCAAAACATTGAAATCCCAGGATCCCAGGAGTGAAAAGAGCAATGACAGCCCAGCCTACTATCCTGTGTCCTACACAGATTCATCCAATCTTCTAGGACTGTGAGAACCTGATGACAAAATCTCCAGTCCACTGCAGACTTCAGGCAAAACTGTGATCATAATAAGATCCATAGGAAGATGCAGCTCCATCGAAAACTCAGCATTTACCATAATGTGCCAAATTAATGGAACCACGGCTTTGTCTGTAAAGAAAAAAATAAAAGAAGTAAAAAAAAGTTTAAAGAAAATATTGAAAGAATACATCAAACTCTTTGGGAAGTGCATCATGTAATTTTCTATAGGAAAAGATTGAACTGTGAGCATTAATTTCTCCTTCTACGTGGAACTAAACCCTGACAGCTCCCAGCTTCTGCATACTTCCAGCTGTGGGTTTACTGGACCCTTTCTATGCCTTGGCTCTGCCTTAGTCTTAGAGTTTGCTCAGACTCAAAATTGAAAAGAATTTGAAACAGTTACTAGGCCTTGGAAACAACACGGCAAGAGACACAGCTATCTGATTACAGGGCAAAAACATTGGAGGGAAGTACCCTACCTAGAACATCCATCCTGTGCCACAGAATCTTTCATGGAGTTCAGGGTATAAGAGGATCCTCCCAGGGAGTTTCTTTCTAGCATGATAGATTGCAGACTGTAGCAGGGATGTATTGGGGCTTTAGAATTATCTCATAATATTTACACATCTACAATTTGTAATTTCCAATAATTAAGTTAACTGATTTGTTTGTTTGTACAATGTTAAACACAACTATATTCTTTGGTCCTAATATAAAAGCCACTTTTATAATTCACAATATTAAAGGGAGATATATATGTTGCTTTGTTTTTCATAGCACATTGGTTTGGTAGGGTCATATTTTCTGTGTATTATGAGCATGGACATCAATAACGCAAACCTAAAATTTTGCTACTAAATATTCATTAATTATGAAGAACTTGTATTAGTATTGTATTATTTACCTGTATGCAATACAGAAAGCACATTTGTTGAAATAAGTACGGTCATTGGTTCCACAGACTGGATAATACTCTCTGGTACAAATTCCTAGAGGACTATACATTCCACACATTGTCTGAAAAACACACAAAGATAACAGAAATATATTAGACAAAGGGCTATTGAAGAAAACGTTCTTCACTCTTAGTCGCTAATGTCATACAAAAGAGTTTAAATGTAATCTACACATATATATAAAGGACATATAACACGTATAATACATGTAAAAATAATTATCATATTTTTAGTTTGTAAGCCTCTACTAATAAGAACACCACACAGCTAGTGTAACATGATCTTGCAAAGCAGCCAACTCACATTATAACATCTGTGATTCCCCAACAAACAACATTCCCTTCATCCCTCATAACATATTTTGTTGATTATTCTCTTATTCCTCTGTAAATTCTCTGCAATCTGATGCACATATTTACGGTATATTTACATGTCAATACATCTCATTTATGTGTGTGTTCATAAACACACATTTGTAATTTTCAATATTTTGGTAATTTATACAAAGAAAACAATACTATATATTATGTGCACATGACTGACTTTTTACACATCCTTCTGACACATATATGCCACAGATATAGAGATATAATGATATTTAGAGGGACAGTTTATTTATTTTCAAATTTAACATTTATTTTCAAATGTAACATTATACCATGGAAGTCACCATTTTTAATGGTAAGTTAACCACTGAGCTGTCCCCACTGCCTGTATAGATATTGAATTATACATCTAATTGCCAATGGCCAGAATTTGGGATTAACATACTCATTGTTGTATCTTATATCAATAATAAGTTGTCTTATATTTCTGGATTGATATTTTGGACTTATTGTAATAAAAATACACCATTTTTAATGTTTGAAGAGTTTTTTTTCTTTGATAAATTTCACATTAAATTGATTCATTTATAAAAAAGAAAACTTTACATTATAAATTTCCATATAAAATAATAGTAACTTACTGGTCTCCTGTACAATGCTGGACCTATAAAGGTACTTTCTGAAAACAGATCAGAGAAGACAGTTAAAAATGTATAAAAATGACCTTGTCCAGACTGCTTATGGTAAGAAATACCTACATGTAAATGTAGCAGACACTAATGTAAATTGCCTACTGCTGTAAGTAATAAATAAGGATTTTGTGGCAGTAGTAAAAAATTAACTAAAAATATATTTGGAAATTCTGATTTCCAAATATATATAGCTTTGCGAAATGTAGTACTATATACTGCTCTCCTATATAAAAGTATCATGTTCCATTTGTTAATAGGTCTGGGTCTATTAACATTATATAAATTTTAAGTGAAATATCCTGGCTCAGAGTTCAAAATATCTTTCATGTATTCACTTAAGTTGGAAAAAATTAATCAGCTGTAATTTCAAAGTTCCAGGTAACATTTCACAAGTCCTCACTTTGAAGTTCAACTGCCAGTCTTGAACCTGACTGAGGATAAAACACTTTCTAACATAGGTCTTGACTTAGAGGGCCTCAGGCTGTCGAACAAATTAGATTTTTAAAGAATGCCATATTTAAGGACATTATTCTTTCCTTGACTTTGCATTTCCCAATAGAACTTAGTTAACAGCCTGAAGTACAAATTATCAGAGATTGAAAGTCTGCACAGCCTGTTCTAATCCACTGCTCCCTTCAAACTTCTCCAGTGTGGACTAGTTAGAAAAAGCAATCCACCGCTATAATTTTAGAGACATTTGTAACATGACCATTTAAAGACCACAACCCCAGTAAGACAAGCTCATTCATTCTTTTGTGGTTTTTCAGAGTTTTGGCCTCCCTGAATTTTTTAGAATATCTTTAAGGTGCTCATGCAGGACAGGAAGATGTACTCACCAGAATAAAGAAGAAGTGACAAGATGATGTATATAACTCTTGAGAAGACCAACATTTTATGAAAGATACGGTGAACAGGGTACTTTGGACAGCAAATGAAAACAACCAGGGATCAGTGACAGAGTTTCTTGATTTTGAGGAAATAGTTGTATCCACCCAGATTCCTAACTAAGATAATAGTCACTTTCATCTGTTTCTAAAATATGATTCAAAATGATCATGAAATATAATCACAGAAGACCACCCAGAGATTAAAAATAGATAACACAAAGATGATAGATAGATAAATAGATAGATAGATAGATAGATAGATAGATAGATAGATAGATGATAGAGATAGTTGATAGATGATTGATAGATAGATAGATAGATAGATAGATAGATAGATAGATAGATAGATAAGATAGATAGGTGATAGATGATGGTGTTAGATAGATAGACAGGTAGATAGGTAGATGATAGATAAATAGATACATAGATAAATGATAGACAGATAGACAACAAAGTAGAGTGGGAAAATACTAATAGAGGACATCAGCTAATGTGTGTGTGTGTGTGTGTGAGAGAGAGAGAGAGAGAGAGAGAGAGAGAGAGAGAGAGAGAGAGAGAGAAAGAGATGGGGGGAAAGGAGACATTTAAATCTATATTTAAAAAAAAAAGCCTCCAGTGTCATTATTTTAGGAAGGCCACTAACCTGGAGAAGACCTCACACAAGGCTGTCTCACTGGGAGCCCCACTTGACCTACCTCACACAGAGAGATATTAGGGTAAGGACGACAGTTCAGAGACTGTGGCTGTTCTATTCAATCCAATGTTCACTTTTATTTCCTCAATCAGAGCCTGCCAGCAAAGTCTCCGATTTACCTGTGAGCAGTGAGCTCTAGGGGCTAAGAGAATTGCACAAGAAAAATAAAACAAGGAGGCATCCTGCATTCTTCCTGGAAGTTGTAAAGCAGGTCATGAGTGAAGCCTATCAAATACTTCTTGGTAGATCTCTTCTTGGCAGCAGACACAGGGACAATTTGTCCTCATGAACTCATGAGTACTAAAGAATGAAAGTTCTCATTTATTCTAGAAAAGGAAAAATATAAATCTTTCCAAATGAACTAGTTGTTAGCGGAAAAGAGAATCAATGAGGAAAAAAAAGTTGACAATGACATTTAGACAAGGACATCGGTTACTAAATGTTTGTAAATAAATGTATGGTGGAATTATGGAAACCTAACAACAGTGAAGACATTGTCATGCTGTCAAAGCAGTGAATTCATAGTTAAGAGAAATCTAATATTGCATGAGCAAATGCTCCCAGGTAAGTCTCATCAACTGCCTGGTTTAAGGAAACTTCCCCAAAACAGAATTCAAAGCCTGGCAGAGGCATATGCTTTTAACCCTAGCACTGGGGAGGCAGAGCCTGGCAGATCTCTACGAGTTCACAGCCAGTCTGGTCTACAGATCAAGATCCAGGACAGGCACCAAAACTACACAGAGAAAATCTGTCTCAAAAAAATAAAATCTGAAAAACAAACAAAACAGAATTCCAAAGTACAGAGCAGAAGAGACCACGAGCTGAGAGGAAAGTTGCCCTGTTAAGGTTTACTAATTATTTCTCTCCAACTTCTCTGCAAATATAAACACTAGGAATGGATTGTCACTGTGCCTGCCCTGAGGCACACTTTTCTACTGCTGAGCTTTTGATCAATAGCTTTATTTTTTTTTCCCTGAGTATATAGGGAAATAAACACTAACTTCATTAAATCTAGAACATTAAAAATAGATCATTGCTTTAAATGAATATAAAAGTATAAGACTGAGAAGTGTATTTCTATCTCTTAGGTTTGGAGTAATGTTGATTTTTTAACTGAAAATAAAATTTTGATACAATATATTCTGACAATAATTCCCCCTCCTCATAGATCGTCCACATCTTCCCCATTTCCCTGAATCCACACACTCTCTTTCTCTCTCTCTTGTTAGGATACAAAGAGGCATCTAAAACAATAATGTTAATAAAATAAAATTAGATAAAATAAAACAGAATAATAGAATAGGACAAAACAAATGAAGAAACAGAAAAAAGAGACAAAGAAAAAGTTCAAGAAACATATAGACACACACACACACACACACACACACACACACACACACACATTTGCACACACAGAAATCCCAAAAAAACGACAAGACCAGAGGCTGTAATATATACACAGTGGACATGTAAGGTTAAAGAACAAACAAAGTCCTGACAAAACATTATGAAATATTGATGTTCAAAGGAAGAATTATTTAAAATATAGAAGATGGGCATGTCTCCATGATCCCTTCCTCAGTGTGTTTGTTGGTGGTGTATAGAAAGCCACTGATTTTTATAAGTTGATTTTGTATCCTGACACTTGGCTGAAATGGTTGTTTCTAGGAATTTTCTGGTGGAAGTTTCGGAATTTTCTTTGCATAATATTATATCACCTGCAAATAGGAATAATTTTACTTCTGTTATACTGCCACACTCCAGGGCAGGACCCACACTTAAGAGGCTTATCCAACACAAACCAGACTTGCAGACTTGATGAGGGAAGGAAGGAAAGAAGGAAGGGAGGGAGGGAGGGAGGGAGGGAGGGAAAGAGAGGTGGAGGGAGGGAGGGACAGACGAAGGGAGCGAGGAAGGAAATCATGAAGGTGGGTAGGTAGAGAGGTAGGATGATCCGGGAGGAGTTGGGGGATAAATAAGTTCAAAATACATTGCATGAAAATCTCATAGAATTAAAGACATATAACTTTAAAAAAATAATAACTCAACACTCCCACAGTTACTTCTTCGGTCTTCAAATTGACTTGATCATGGGCCCAACAAACCTCTTCTGCCATCAGACCCATGAACTTCCTCTGTCATGCGATTGGACTTCCTGCTCCAAGTGCAAGCAAAGCAACCCCTACCACAGCTGCAGTCTCTGGGCCAATCCTGCCAGAAAAAATCTGTAACAGCAATTCCAGAGGGAATTTGATAAAGGGGCTTCCCAGGTACTTCAGCCAGGGACACACCTTCAGTACCCCTTGGAAAAAGCAACACTGCATAAGCTAAGCAGGAGCTCTAAACTGTGGTTTGGGCTCCACACAACCTCCCACTTCTTCAACCCTGTGGGAATGCAGAGACTGCATTAGGACCGAGTTTGTGCTGGCTATCTACAGCTGACAGAGCAGAGCTGTCAAGAAAAGTCTACATGCAGAGGATGCTGGAGTAGTGAAAGTCAGTACACAGGACAGCTCAAACCAGGACCAGAGGACTGAAACAACAGACCGAAGAGACAAAATAATATTCAAATGATCACATTATATCCCCACACTTCTCTTTCCCCACTACAGCTATGTTTTATTTGGCAGTGATTTCATTATCTTACACCTTCACCCTGCTCTCTTCCTCCCCAAAACAAATATTTATTATCGATATACTGCAGGAGGTCAATGTAGCAGACCAATACTGCCCCCTACTGCTCATACCTTTTTACTTCTTGTTTTTCCTTGTTTTTTTCCCCCTGTTTCTTTTCCTATACCCACTCCTCTTACTCTTACACCTCCAAAAGACAAGAGGCTGCCTGTTTATGATATCTGAGTACATGTCTTTACCCTCTCTTTAGTATACCACTAAACAAACTCCCACAAATGACACCCACCCCCTCCATTTTTTTTTACTTTGCCTCAATAATTCTCACTCCTCCTCTACCTCACATTCAACAAATAACATTACTTAATAGTCTCACTGAGAATGCTTCTTTTTCTTTTATCCTCCTGTCTTCTCATGACAAAATAACTAATATATATCATTGTACACAGTACGATCAGGGTCCCTTTACCTTACTCCCTAAGCTAACCAGTACTGAACTAGTGTCTGGTTTATAGTTGTGTGCTAGTCAATTATTAGAATGGGTTAACTGCTGGATAGGGACTGTTGCTGCAAACAGTGCTCAGCAACAAGAACAGACTAGATTTAGGGTCTGGTGCCTTGAGCCCCAGTTTAATACATGAAAGCTTGACCACAAATGTATACAACCTAGTCCTGAACACTGCAAACACAAACATTGGGAAAAGGGTAACCTAACAAGGATAACAATAGAAATTGAGATTGGGGAGATCTCAGTGAAATAACACAAGTAACATGAAAGAACAAAATGTTTTTTTTTTTCTCCCAAAATTACTAACACCATAGAAGGCCTCTGGTGGGAATGACTTTAATGAAATATCTGGTGCACAAGTCAAAAGCTTCATAATTGTGATCATTTACTCAAAGCAGATACAACTATTTTCTAAGACAACACAGACAATTTAATAAAATATGGTGTTGATACATGATTTAAAAATGGAATTCAATATATCTTCTTCATGGCATTTCATAGAACTTTCTCAAAAATTGACCACATACTGAATTACAAAGCAAGTCTCAACACATACAAGAAAATTTAAATAACCCACTGCCATGCTATCTGATCACCATGCATTAAAGCTGGATTTCACCAACAACAGAGATCCTACAAACTCATGGAAACTGAATGACTCTCTGCTGAATGACTGCTGGGTCAGGGAAGAAATTAAGAAAAAAAATTAACATTCCCTAGAATTCAATGAAAATGGGACCCAATGAAAGCTGTGGTGATAGGAAAGTTCATAGCATTAAGTGCCTTCATAAAGAAATGTTGGAGATCTCAAAATAGCAACTTAACAACACACCTAAAAGCTCTAGAAAAAAAGGAAACAAACACACCCAAAAGGAGTAGACAGCAGGAAATAATCAAACTAAGGGCTGAAATCAATAAAGTAGAAACAAAGAGAACAATACAAAGAATCAATGAAACAAAGAGTTGGTTCTTTGAGAAAATCAACAAGATAGACAAACCCCTATCCAAAATAACTAAAAGACAGAGAGAGAACATCCAAATTAACAAAAACAGAAGTAAAAGGGGGACATAATAACAGATAGTGGGGAAATCCAAAGATTTTTTTATGTCATACTTTAAAAGCCTGTACTCCACAAAACTGAAAAATCTGAAAGAAATTGACAAATTTCTTGATAGATACCATATACTGAAGTTAAATCAACAGATTTATTAGCCCTATGGAAACAGAAACATTTATTAAAAAGCCTCCCAACCAAAAAAAATCCCAGTGCCAGATGGTTTTAGCAAAGAATTCTAACAGGCTTTCAAAGAAGAGCTAATACAAATACTCCTCAAATTATTACACAAAATAGAAACAGAAGGAATGTTGTCAAGTTCTTCTTTATGAGGCCACAGTCACCCTGATACCCAAACCACACAAACACTCAAATGAACAAATGAAGAGTGAAATACAGACCAATTTCCCTTATGAACATTGATGTAAAAATATTCAACAAAATACTTGCAAACCAAATTCAAGAACACATCAAAAAGATCATCTGCCAAGACCAAGTAGAATTTATCCCAGAGATGCAGGGATGGTTAAACATGAAAATCTGTCAATGTAATCCACCATATAAACAAACTGAAAGAAAAAAAAAAAAACCTGTTCGTCTTATTAGATGCTGCAAAAGCCTTTGACAAAATCCATCACCCCTTATGATAAAAGCTCTAAATAGAGTAGGAATACAAGGAACATACCTCAACATAATAAAGGCAATTTACAGCTAGTCTATAACCAAAATCAAATCAAATATAGAAAATCTCAAAGTGATTCCACTAAAAGCAGGAACAAGACAAGGCTGTCCACTCTCTCTAAATCTATTCCATATAGTACTTGAAGTTCTAGCTAGAGCAATAAGACAGCTGAAGGATATCAAGGGGATACAAATTGGAAAGGAACAAGTCAAACTTTC